GGGAGCGGTTCGAAGAGATCAGAGGGATGCTCGGCTCTTCGTCCGGGGGGGTCACCAGCCAGGACGTCCTCAATTACGAGATCTTCGAAGCCGCTGTCTACTGCTACGCGATCGACTACAGGAAGGTGGACCCCCAGTTCGTGGACGAGTACGTGCGGGGAAAGCATGCAAAGAACCTGATGGCCAACTTCCAAAACTACGAAAGGTTGGTTGCCGAACTCCGATGCTTGTGTTGCGACTCTAGTCGGACCATTTGGTTAGAGCATGTACATAAGTGCATGTTCAAACGTTTGTAGTTTACTATGTGATGCGTGCTTTTGTGGTGAGACAAAGTAATGATATTTGGGATCACCGGGAGCCAACGAAAAACAATCAATCACCTTGATGGCAGGTTCGTCTCGTCCAAGTACATATCTACCGTCGACACCCTGAGCGCCGCCGTTGAAGAAGGGGAACAGAGACGGAACGTCCAGGAGTACCTCGAGATCAGGAACAGACCGGCTAATGGCATCAACTATGCGTGGTGTGTCTTGGCAAAGTTGCTGGGCATCGCTCCTGGGAACATCGACAACACCGTGTTTGGAAGCTTCAGGTTGATCGATGGGGGTGCTGAAGAGGAGAGGGCGCTAAAAGTCTTCGACGAGGAAGACTTCAAGATGCTCAGGTCTCTCGAGGTCCTAGAGACCCTCTATCGACCTAAGACGTCTTTCGTGGGGAAGGACCTGTCGGCGGTGCGGAAGCGAAACGTAATCAAGATGATATTGGAGGGAGGGCTAGGCCTTACCATACAGATGGCACGGTTTTCGCATGGAGCTCGCAAAGGCTCCCATATGGTCGTTCCTATGCCGAACTGGAAGGCCCTAGATGATAGGTACGGGGGCTTGAGAAAGAACTTGGAAGAGAATAGAAGGAACAGGTTCACATGCCGAGTAGAGGTTGACGAGTGCAGCAATTCGCGACCAGAAATATTTTAACCAAAGCTTGGACAGCTTGGACTGGCCTTGACCCAATCAATGGGGTTAACTACAGTAGCTTGATAACATCGGACACTTGCTCAGGTTGTCAAGCTACATGGGCCGGGCTGGTACACATTTCAAGCTTTGTCTGTATTAAGCTTGCAATCTCATCCGGTTTAATATCAGCTTCATCAATCAACAAGTAGCTCGCTGCGTGCTTTAGGAGTATAAACAACTCATGGAGATGAAATATTGCATCTTCAACAATAAGCGTGTAGCTTTGATAATGCTCCGCCGGTTTGATCAACATGCAGATGAGCCTTTTATGAAGGTCACCTAACGTGACTTTGGTCGCATCTGCTTGCATGTCGACAATCTTGCGAATGAGAAGGCATAAGCCAACACCAATGATTTCTGTGCTTTGCAAGGAAAGCCCGATTTGTAGGACACATGGATAGTACTTCACCCCGGTGCCGTTTGATAGGCTCTCACATCGAGCGAGATCAATTTTCTTGTCGAACAGGGTGTCAACATTGGACTCAGAGATGTTCATTCCCATTGTTGGCAATCGGGCCACTACCTCTGCATATACTTACGTCAACGAAAATAGGGCTGACCGAATACGTTTCTTAACGGTGAGCATAGTTTGTTTTTTGAAATGTGATAACGGAATCACACCGTTATCATGTTGCTTTCCGGTTAGCTTTCTTAGAGTGCGAATCACCCTTATTGGTATCTTTCACTGACTTCGACGGTCCTCGAGTCTGGCGTTTGGGTCCTGCGTCAACTTTTGACTCGTCATCTGATGATTCCTCCGTATCAGAGGAATGTTTGCTAGTGGTTTTTGACGAAAGCGTCTTCTGTTTCCTTGTGCTACAAGAAGTCCATTTCGATATCGTGTCGACGCAGAATTTCCTTGTTTTCGTTCGGTAGGTCCCGGCAAAAGCCAGACCCGTCGGTTGTTCGGCCTTCTTCACGGTCTCGATGTTGATCTGATATGCAAATACTTTTCCTTTGGATCCACGAGTAGTTTCTATTAGTAGAACGTAGTAGACCAGAGGTGGACGGCATGTCTTAGTTGCCTCCAACTTCAAGCTCCGATATAAGGCGGAACCGATTCTGGCGCCTGCTTGAAGAGGGCGACCGCTTTCACTATTGATCTGGAGCCGGCTGCTCCAAACTTTGTCGGTCAAGTCCACTTTACAACTACCACCGAAAGCTGCTTGTACCCGAAATGACCGGATTGTCGGCGTCATGATGTATCGTATGTTACTACCACAACAAAATTTTTGCTATCGGTTGTGTGTGTTGCATAAGTAGCTTTTCATGTTTCCATTTTCAGATAGGCCGAGTGCTCTTATGCACACGTGCAACATGTCCGTTCGGATGTCCAAGAACAAATGGCTGCCTTTGTGTGCTTGCACGATATGCTCCACACACAGTGTGTAAAATTGGCCCCAAAACTGGGAGGCTCTGAAAAGTATGCGTGTATGATACGCTCAGCATACAGTGTAACAAAAACTAGCCCCTCTGGAGAGTATGTTTGTACGATGTGCTCAACATACGGTGTAACAAAAACAGGCATCGTACGATGTGCTCAACATACGGCGCAATAAAAACTGGCATCGCTTAACATACGGTGTAACAAAAACTGGCATCGTACGATGTGCTCAACATACGGTGCAACAAAAACTGGCATCGGGCTCCTTGACAGCTCGAACAATGTCAAGACAAGACTCTC